ATTGATAATCAAATTAATATTGATTTTTTATGATATAGCTTAAACGAGGGTAGTAATAAGTAAGAAATACAATAAAAAAAAGTGCAGAGACAGATCGTGAAGTTTATTACTTTATGTAATGATACATTAGATTTATACAAAGATGGGAGATGAATATGCACAAGATCTAAATATAAAATTACCTACAGTCATAAAAAAAATTTGTTTTTTTAATGATATTAAATTAAAAAGAAAACATCAAATAATTTCACATAGAGAAAAAGTTATAAATTTGAATTCCATAAATCATAAAACAAATATTTTGAAATTTTATCAAATACATCTTTGTACTAAATGATTACATGCTTAAAAATCTCGATTTAATGTATGATGTAATTTATATTAATTGTTTCAATAACAATAACATTTCTACTGCACTAAGACAAATAATAATAAAATTCATGTCATCATTAACATATATATATACATATTATTACCTTCTGAAATTATCCCAGTAGTTATTTGCTCTATTCCCAGGAGGAACTTGATTATTCAATTGTTGTTGCTGATGTTGAGAATTAACAGAAGATGTTGTAGCAATATGAGATAATGCAGGAGAAGAATTTGGTAATGATACCAGATTTGGCAAAGATGAACTTGGTGGTAATGCAGAATCTAATGTTTCACCAAGATGATGAATATTGCGACTTAAATTAGAATATTCATCGTTATTTTCGCTATTATTTCGCTGTTGTAATTGTGTTTGTCTCAAATGAGCTTGTAATTGAGTAATAGCTGTACGCATAGCTTGTAATTCTCGTTGTTGAGACCATAACAGTTGACAACATTGTTGTATCGTAGTACCCATCATTTGAAGTTGTTGCGCTTGAGAACCTAATAAGAGTTGTCGATAATACTCTGCTGAGCCTATTAATAAAATATATTTGAAAGTTATTTTATTGTATAAATATTGAATAAAAAATTTAATTTAAAATTTATATATATTTTTTATCAAATATATCTTTTTATCAATATATCTTACCATGTTGTAATTGACTTAACGGAGGCGGTGGATATGTCCACCAATTTCCACTGAATCCATTTTCAATTGCCGTCGTTTGAGGTCCAATATCCATTAAATTTTCTGAAGATACGCCATCTACACTTTGATCATTAGATCCACCTACATATCAAAATATAACTTTAATAAATATAGCTTTATATTAAATATATCTATAAATATTCTTATATTTTAATTACCCATTGTTGCCGAAGGTGGCCAAGCATTAGCAGGAGTACCTATATGACTAATATGTGAACTAGAACTTCTATGACTACTTAAATCATTTGGTCCTCCTATATCTCGATTGACATTTATTTGAGATGATTCCTATTTTTTAATAAAAATATAAATAATAAAATAAATATTGAATATTATTTTTTACATATAAAAATTTAAAATAAATACTTTTCGCATAATATCATCGATTTGACGTCTTTTTTCCTGAGCAGATTGAATTTCATAGTTATTAGTATTACTTTGCTTTTTATCAGAGCCAGTTGATGCTGTAAGTGATGGAGGAGGAGTTGAAGTCGAAAATACAGATGTAGAATTAGAATGCATTGCTGATAAGGGTTGTTTTATTCGTTGTAATTCTGCTCTAGTAGTTTGTAATAAAGCTGATTGTTCTCGAAGTTCTCGGGTAACAGCCTGTAAAGAATTTTTATTTATTAATTTATAGAAATATAACGATATAATATGTAGTTTTAATTTATATTTATACTTGAATTTCTTCAACAGTTGGCCTGTCTCCAGTATTTCTGATTTTTTCATGATTTGTTTCGTCAGTATCACTTTGACGTTCAAATGAAATATTTGTTCCATTTTCATCTTCATTTCCATCCACACCAGATGTTTCACCATTTGCATCTACGTCCATTTCACGATCCGAATTAGAATCGAGACATTCACGTACTTTTGTTGCTTCTTCCATTAATGATTTCAAATGAGCAAGTTGTGCTTTCATAGCTTCTAATTCAGCAGCTTTGTCTTTTCCAAAATTTCTTGAAGAATTTCTTCTTGAAGATTTTCCTTGAATAATTCCTTCAGAACTCTAAATATAAAAAACATAACTATATGTATTACTTAACTGAATAAAATTAATAAAAAAAAAATGTACTGACACAACTGCCTCTATCAGACATCTCTACAGCTTGTAATTCTGCTACAAGGTGGTCCATATTTTTTTTCTTTGTTTGAAGTTGAGCCAATTTTCCTCTTAATGCAGCTGTTTCAGATTCAAGTTGTTCAATATTCATAGGTAATGGTAGTGCTGAACCAATTGAATTTTGATTTTCTTGTTGTAAAAGAGCTTGTTGAGCTTGACGTGCTTCATTTAATCTTTCTCTAACACGCAATTGCATTCCAACTAAACTAGCTTGATGTTCTTGTAATTGTGCAAGTTTTCTTTGAGATTCCTCCATCTTCTTACGTAGTTCCATTTCTCTACTTACATCATTTTCTTCTATTTCTTCTCTATTATTTTCACCATTCTAAAAGATAAATAATTTAAAATTATTATTATTAATTCTCGTTAAAAAATAATGTAAATGTATGAAATTAATAAACATAAAATACGATTTATAGATTTCAAATTAAAGAAGCATGCATAAAAAATTATATGTATAGCTTTTATAGTTTAGTAAATAATAATTCTTGAAGTTTATTAACCTCACAAAATATTCCATGATTTTGATATTGTTCCAAGAGTTTAGTTAGTTTTCTTTCACTGTCATGAAGATCCTCTACCATTCTACTCAACTTCTCATTTTGGGCTTGTGCACGCTATAGTACAATTATATAGAAAGAAAAATATTCAACTTATAAAAAAAAAAGGAAATATTATATTATGACTATAATATAATATTTATAATATAATAATATAATATATATAATATTTATACTTACAGGATCACTAGATTGATTCAATGAATCCATCATAGTTGATGTAACTCTGATATAATCTCTAATTTGATTTAAACGTGATTCTACTTGACTTCTATCAGGCTGCAAAACAAACATTAAATAGAAATAATAATTTATTAATTTAAATAAAAAATTAAATAAATAAAATGATAAATCAAATTATTAATATTAAGTAATTAAAGATTATATTACCATTTTATCAACATTTGATGGTTTTGTTCCTTGAAGTCTTGGAGGAGATTGAGTTTGAGAATCAATTGGTGGAACCATCTTTTGCCAATGTGAATATTCTTCTGCACTATAATTATATGGTTGTCGACTACTAAATGATACTAAAATAATAATTTTTTAATTATTAACAGACTTTATAAAAATTAAAATATAAAAATAATTTAATATATACCAAATTCAGGTATATCTTGATAAGAACTAGATAGTGCTGAAAAAACTGATCTTGTGTTACTATTCTTTGTTATCCTTGAATGTTCCTGTTCCACAACTGGTTTCCAATCCAACTGATACTTACATATAATTTATAAAAAAGAAAATCAATTAGATATATAAATAATTATTTGTATTTTTTAGAAATGATGAGTGAAATACTAAAACTCTACTGTCTCAAGATAGAATTGTATCTGGATATGTATTCTTAGAGAGAACTTCCCCACTATTCAGCTATCTATTAATAGATTATCTTTTAAACTACTATATACAGATTGCTGTACAAAGTTTTCATTTGAAAAGTTCAAGTTACAGTTAATTTAATATATTATATTTAATCTATAATAAAATTTATGATACTGAATATTATTTAACAATAGAAATAATATTCAGATTTAAATGGATATTATTAAGATTTTAAATGGAAATATTGTTTCTATATTATAATTAAATTATAACAAAATATTTAAATTTATTAAAACTTATCTTTAATTTTTTATTTTTTAATAAATATTTTAATATAAGATATTATATAAATTAACATTAAAAATAAAATTATCATTCATATTTTTATATTAGTTTACCAAATTGTTAGAATGCTGTGCATATCCATGATAAGCAGAACGGATTGCAAATTGATTAGCAGCAGATCGTTCTCTATTTCTATCATTTCTTCTATTGCTTTTTGGGAGTGTGCCTGTGCTGCGTGAACCATCGTTAACACCGGGCGACATATTCTTTGCACAAAATTCTTACACTCTTGAAAATGTATCTTTCTGGTTGTTGGCTGTTCACAGTTAACTTTGTTGCACAATTTTAATTGCAATGCAACTTTTAAAAAACGAGATTTTATATGAAAAAAAAAGTGTCAATTACCTGCAAGTATTATAGAGCCGATTGTGCGAAAAGATGCATTTCAAATAAATAATGCACGACTGATTCAGAAACCGTCTCGACAAGGCGGAAATGTAAAAGTATGAATTGATATTCACGAGGCTCTTGCGTCAAAATACTTGGCAGGCTAATAAAAAGAATTAGATACTATAAATAAATTAGGCCATTGACGTATTTACTACGATGATTTTAAGAATATATCGATTATAATTTCAAAATCACTCGTAGTTACTTCGTAGATGCGGCCATTTTTAAATACTTCTTTGACATGTCTAGTAAATATAAATTGCATTAACAAAATCTAGCGCTTAGATTTATTGTTTAAAAATTGTTTATATGAAAATAATGTTTTTATAGTAATATTATATATATTGCATTAATTTTTTTTTAATGTATATACGTAATATATTTTAAAATAAATATTAATATTTACGACTTTGATTAAATATTGATTAAAAAAATATATCATTTTTTTTATATATATGAAATATTATATGAAATATTATTTTTATTAATAATTTTCATAAAATTATATTTTATTATATTATATATATGTTTTTAAAAATAATAAAATTTATTAAAGTTAATCTTAATATTTAATAAGTATAAAATTTATAATTTATTAATATTAATGTTTAAATTTAAAAAATATTTCTATTAAATTTAAAATACCGATATATTAATATTTAGTTGCTAGATATTTTTGTTATCATAGAGAGCGCTTGCACTGACATATAACGACATCTAACAATGAAAATGGAACTATTCTGAGCGCATGGCGCCATGATACTTGTAGAGGGATACGTTGTTTCGCGCCCATGGCCTGGGGGTTAATAATAAATAACCGATTCCATCACATGTACTTTACTTCTACGTGCTTTACTTCTAGTCCTTAGAATCTAGGCAGCGCCTATGACAGACGACGTAGATCTCAATAGTGTCGCATATGCGGCTTTACTTTCTTCGAAGTATCGCTTTCGAACTACGAATTCGAGCAGATTTCTGAAACGTTTTAAAAAGAAAGAAAAAGTCAAAAATTAAAAGTAAGCACAGGACAGGTCCATTGTATTGACACTGATAATCTGTTAACTATAGTTGGATATCGTATGTTTTTGTTAAGGTTAAGTGTAAGACGTTTTCTTTTATACCAGTTTTCCTGGGTGCGAAACGAATATAAGTGGTTATAATTCGTGTATTAGTGCATGCTGTGTAATTTTCTTGGAGTTTGCTTGGATTTATCTTCTAACGCTGTGAAATGCTGACAAGCTGGCAACATGTATATGACAGCATAGTTGATACGGACATACGGCTCAGTACCTGTAAGTATACTTAAATATTTTATTCTCTTATTCTGAAATGTACATAACATTAGAGGTTATATCGTAATTGTAAATGTTACATTTGTTGTAGAGAATAAACTATAATTATAATACAAATGCATTATAAATGGATAATATTTATTCACAAATTTTATAAAATTTATTATTATGTATACAATAGAAATATAATATGAATTATACATTTATACATTTATATATATATATATTTTACTTATATATATATATAAATGTTTACATTATATAAATTTAATATCCAATTTTTAATTTATGTTAATATTCTATTTAAAACATTACATTTTCATTCAACTTTTTCATTGTAAAGTAGAGAAAATAAGAATTATTGAAAAAATTTATACATAATTTGCTTTATTCAGTTATAAATTTATTTATATCTGAATATAATTATACTAATATTAAAATCATATAATCATATAATATTAAAATCATATAATCATATAATCATATTAATCTATCAATAATATTATTTTTCGCTTATAATTTTTCTTCTATTTTTAATTAGAATAGTGAATATGTTAGAAATCGTTGATGAAATGTAATTCAAACTGGGAATAATTATATTTAATTTAAATTGAAATTTTACTTAACTCGATATTATGCGTTATATCGTATAAGTACACGCATCATCTCTAATTAAAATAAATGATTACACAAGGACGAAACAGTTATTCATAAGAAAGAATAATAAAAATTATTTTTCCAATGCTTTATGTATATCGATGTCATTGACAATGTTAGTAAAATTGATATATATATATAAACTAATTATATTTATGGAATTTTCACGCGAATAGGTTGAGCATTGCACTTCTGTTTGACTACTTGTTGCATAATGCATCGATTTTGGTGACCTAACCTAACTGTACAACATCTTTATGCAGTTGCTCTTGTTTGCATTACACGTGTGTGCTCATGAAACAATTGCATGACGATAACACAACTTAACGCGACACCCGGTATATATACTATACTAGTTCTAGTATTTCATTATATGAAAAGTCGATACGTTTTATTTCTTTCATTCAACAATATGGACTAATGGCCTTGCTATAATTTCGCAAATGATCAATAGTATGCGGTTAGCGTGTTAATACTGAATACTAGGTTTTATCATCTAACTGTATTTCTTTCTCTGTTTTTGAAATATCAAAATGTCATTAATTTTGTTAAATATATCTTTAATTGATTTTCATATTTTTTCTTATGTAAACAATGTATACAATATTTTTTATAATTAGATTTTTTATTTTAAGGTTGTTTAAATATTATTCTTGTACTAATTTATTTTGACGGTCCATCAACGCGTGCATTTTGTTTAGCTAGTCTATGAAACGCGGAACAAATTTTCTCTCACGTGAATTGCATATGTCGCTGAACATCAGCCAGCTTTTCAATTCGTTCGTCCCAATTTCATAGGGTTATTTTTGAAAAGAATGGTTTTTCACAAATCCATGTCAGTCTCATAAAAAACTAGTTGGCAAAAATTCCATCTCCGATTATAAAATTATTTCCTGTTGAATAATATTTAAATGAATTGCTCCAATTGATTATATCGTAAATTTTTTTGAAAGAAGTTTGAAAGAAACTTTTTGATTTAAAATAATACAATGTTTTATTTTTATCGAAGATTTATTTATTAAATGTACATCTTCAAAATAATGCTATTAAGAATAGAGATGATTTTACTTCGAGACTCAATTTCATTTTCAATATCAATTTAAAATCTGTGTCTACATCAACAGGTAGCTCGATATTCGTAATGGAAGGAATATCATTTCGATCACGTGTACGGAACAGATGTTTCCAAAGACAACCTGTTTCAGAACAGTTTGTAGATACATGATCACGTTGACAACCAAAATTCAACCAGTGCCAATTACAAAAACGTGATTTGGAAGATTGCCTACATGCATGATTAAAATGCAATTCACTAGCGCTAAAATGTTTCTAATATTGTATTTGTCGATAAATGAATATTAAATCGAATTTTTGCAACATAATATTTTCATAATACGATATTTTGTAATATTATAATTAACATGTTAGTCGTTATGTAATTACTTTTGTCTAAATATAGTATTAGAAAAATGTTTATTTAGACCAATTTAATTTCACGTTATAACATAAAAAAATAGAAAAATTCTCGTAATCTTAAATATTTTTAAATATTTTTAAATATCTTTGTCAATTAGAACTTCTCATTAAATACTAAGAACAATTGTCAAAGAAATATATAAATTTAATAAATGTAATAAATTTTTGACAAATGATTCCATAACATAATATATTATTTTAATTTTATTTTCGATATCTAGATATTACATTCAAAATGATTCAATAAGATTCCCTGATTGTAACATGAAATATTAAAAACTACTAGGATTTGATTTCGTTGTTCCATCTGCACGCGAATCAAATCATTCGTGCATGATTCTTCCATATAAATTAATAAAAAAAATCGTTTTTTTTATCGATTATATTACAGTTCTGTTATTTTCTTTTTTAATTTACTTTCCGATTTATTGATAAGAAAAATATACTAGAATCTCGTTTTAAGTAGGGTGTGGCATAATGTATATATCCTATAGTTCGGCATCAACGTCGTGCCGATTGCAAACACGAAAGCTAACCTCATAAATAAACAGACTTACATATAACTATGTATACGCACCCATTGGACGAACCAATAGAAAGAGCCGCTCCTTCTTGTTACACCATTCCCTCGATTATTCTTTTTCGCTTTTATTTCCGTTTCAAAAAATTACTATTCCGCCTATGTACTAATTATAGAAATCACGCAATCTTTTTCATCATCTATATGGTTGTTTAGTAAGTTTTCGTCGGTATTTATACTTCAGTGCAAATAGATTCTAAAAAATATTGAAATTTTTGCATAATTAAATATATTCTCTTTTCCATCGTAATTAGATCGATATAATTTTTCTCAATGCATTTATTTATATATGGAATTTTCTGTGTAATTTAATATATATGGGTGCGTCATTGGTGTATATAATGGCAAATCGTAGCCATCGAATACAGTAACACGATAAACGAAAAAAATGAAACGTTTTATGTATATAATCGTATAATTGTGTATAGCTTGAAAATCGATAAAAATAAAAGCACTCCGGAGAATTAACATTTTCATGGATAGGTTAAAAGTGTAATGTCCTTTGCGAGTCTCGGCAATCCATTTCCGTTAAAGGGCGATTCCTGGTAATAACGGGATTTAGATAAGAATCGATTATTATTGTTTCTTATTATTTGTGACTCCCAAACTCTAAGTATATTATATAATTATATTCGAATCCATGAAATTTAATTATTCAATAACCTTTTGATCGATTTATTTATTATTATTTTAACCGCATAATTATGTTTTTTTTCATAATTTTTTAACAACAATATGATTATTTTGTGTTATACAGGTGATAGCTTTCCTTTTCTTTGACAAATGTTTCATGTTCATGTAGTTTTTGCATTTTTTTAATGATAATAATACGAACGTGCAGTTGCAGGATAAATAGAATGGTAATAACGCAGCGACAACATGTGCATATTGCATAGAATGTGATAAATGTGGATGCAGTGTTGACCGTGCGAAATAGATAGGATATTTAATCTGGAATATAGGTTGTGAGTGAAGGACGATTTCGAATATCAAAACATTCTTTAAATGTAAAGTACAAAGTATACTTACCCCTTACAAAGTATAATTTAATAAATCATCTTCATATTCGTATTGGAAAATCGATTTTTAAAATATATGTCATTTCTTATACATCAATAAAGTATTAAGAGTATAATGTAAGGGATTAGAAATTCTTTAGAAAAAATCAAAAACTTTTTAAAGAAAATTCTTAATCTAATTTGTTGTAGTTGTAGCGTAATATTGCAGTCATTTTATATTATGTTACATATTAAGAATAGTATTTACTTACTAAAAAAAATAGTATTTACTTACTAAAAATTTAATATGGTAATATATGTATTTTAATTTAAATATTGTAGATAATCGTGTGTTAACTATTTTAATTTTAAGGATTATTAAACATCTTTTTATTTACTTCTTTAAGCAAGAGTATAAGTTCAATCAATTTATCAATCAATTGAGAATTTATTTTTATATTCATCTTATTTATATTTATATTAATAAATAATATTTTTTATGTTTATTAATGCATTCTATATAACACATAAGAAACTTTAATATATCGCTAAATATTTTAGTAGATATTCATCAATTCGTTTTAATTGATATAAACAGTAGCGAATGATATGAATCTTTAGGTTTATTTCTTATCGTTTTGACATGCAACAAAAACTATTTTCAAGTCTTTTATATTACCAACTCAATTTTGATAGCATCGTGATACAAAGATCTATTTATTTATTCTATCTAATTATTTATCACTATCAATACTAATTAAAACATGAAAATACGCGTGAGGAATAACAACAGTAGTTTGACGTAAATTCACTTCCTGCAGCTGCTACACAACGGAAACTATTCTTTAATCTATTTGTAAAACTTGCAATAATTTTCATGTATATATCAGAATAATTCGATTGATTTTATTCCCCCTATTCTATTTTATCTAAATGTTCGTATTTAATCATTAGTTTATAGAAATTTAGTAAAAATACAATAATACATACTTAAAACATGATTTTATTGTCTTAATTTGGCGATCGAATGATGACTAAGTCGAAGCGAGTAAATGGCACGCGCAGAAGATCGTAGGCGGTTTATATCTGGGAGAGACGAGAGCCGACACGTCTGTCAGGTAATAGTGTACGTCGTCCCGTCGACATGGAAACCCGCGTTCAGGAAGGGAGACGAAGTAGTACACGTGTACGCGTACTAGTCTTAGGGACATCGAGAAAAATGGAAAAGTTAATGGATAATAAACGCGCGTTGCATATATTTGACAATATTTTATCGCATAAAATGTCCTTGTTAAACTAATCACGAATTTATTACCGTTATCTAGCTTGTGGTATTCAGCGATTGGTTATTTCGAAGAACAGTGCTTCGATACGTATTTTATTGGTTCGTGATACTTATTGTAACTTAAAAACTTTATTGTAACTTAAAAATATTTCAATTTTATAGATTTTTAAATGTGATAAAAATTGAATTAACAAAATATATATTTTTTAAATTTTAAGTAAAAGAGAAATTATCGTAATAAAATATTGAATTATCTTTGTGTGAGATAGATTAGATGCGGGAAATAAAAGCGAATATGAAGTGAATACGTAAAGCTTATCAGTGTAAAATTTTATAATATGTCGTGGTGCTTCTTACCAGACAAAATTCTTATCTGAAATAAGGATTTTATGACAACTGGCCATGCCAAGAAAATATTTTCCTGAGAACTTGGCCGTTCTTTGAAAAATATACAAATTTTCTTACTACGTTTATGGTTTCACGTATATGGTTTTACGTATACGGTTTTACGTATACGGTTTCATCAATCGCTATTGATATTTTTTTAATTTTTTTTTTTTTTTTTGAAAATTTTATTTCATGTTTAATTAGATACGATGCATCATGATTGCGTTAATTTTGATTAGATATAAATTTCAAGTGATTTGATTACTCAACATAGGCAATCTATATCATCGTTGAAATTTGCATTTATAATAGTATAAATAAAATTATATGATTATTTTTTCTTTTTTATCACAGTTTTGATATATTCCATAATTCATAAAAATCTATCATATATATATAACAGTATGTTCATGTATGAATTAATAAAATCAGTCGATTAAAACAATTAGAACTTTTCATTGATCGACTTTTATTTATTTTTTTCGTTGCAAATATTTGATATCGAAGTGCATAGATAACTCCAAAAAATCTTATTCTTTATATCTTTTACCAAAAAATTGCTTTTTTTTTATATCTTTTACATATTTTGATCAATAATAGCGTACCTATGTTTTGTAAAAAAAATTGAGTGATTTTATCGTGAGTAATGATTAATTGTTCAAGAAAAAATCGAATTCTTATGTAACGGAGGATTTCACAAGTATAAACGTATTTTATATACAGTATTTGCTACAATGCGCTATTGATAAGGTATTTTTTTCATCGATATATTACAGACTGTGCGTAGTCTTCGAAATCAGCTTTGAACCAATTGCTTTCTTCGCAACAGCTTAAAAATAAAAGAATAGCTTTAAAAAATAAAGTGATTATATATCTATACGTTATTTGATGTAATAAACGCAATCTATTTATGGTGAATTTATTTCTCGAGTTGTTTCGAATATTTTATTTTGCTGCAAAAGAATTGTGATATCTATTCTACAACTTGTCTGGCTAGAGAATAGAATTTACTACTGAATTTTAGTTGAATAAGTGACCGTGACGAAATTGAAACTTTTGACATAGAGATTCATTACATAGATGACGATCTTGTTATATATATATATTTTTTTCCGTTAAACTTAAATTGCGTTAATTTTTTTCTATGATGTATCAAAGTGCCTTGCTAATATAATAGATAAGATTAAAATATCGATGAATCGTTAACAGTTTCGCTTAAAATTACAACAAAGTGTATGTGTAACAAAGATTAGATGAAATAAATTATTTTTACATGCACACGTTAGCAAAGGCCTGGTAAAACGTGATACAAAATTTCGAAGGCTGAAATTCGTGAACGCGGTCGAAGAACGACCGTCAGAAAACCACCTTGGCCTACTCGATTAAAAGTAGTGAGTAACTGGATACTAGTATATGAATATTACTTAAGATATTCTTTTATAAATAAAAAAAATATTATATAATATAAAATTATTTTATATAATACATATAATACATAATAATGATTAAAAAAAATCAATATTCAAAAATTAATTTTACATGAATTTTTAAATTTTTTTTTTTCATTTTATTTCTTTTTGTAAAAAAAATTTTTGTTACATTATAGATTGTTCTTTTAGTGTTATTCCATTACTATTGGATTATTTTTCTTTTAATAGGTTTTTATTGATTCACTAATAATCGTATTGCTGCTAGACTAACTACACTCATACAAACATGAATTATCGTATGACTGTTAATTATCGCAAAACCTAACAGTGATGCATTTGTACACACCCAAGATATCAATATTTGCTTTCGCTTTTAATGTACAAAGTTAATATACAAACATTTTTAGAGCATCCAGAAAATATTTTTAAAAAATAATCAAATTAATCATAATTATGTTAATTCTTGTTACGCTTATATATATATATATATATATACAAAAAAATATTTTTTTTTAATGATTAATATAATCAATAAACAAATTTTGACATAAATCAGAATTATAGAAATATGATTCTTTAGTTTAAAATTCAAAATATACATATTTGTATTATGTAGATATTTTTAACATCAAAGGCATTGCATCATTGTGGATTTCATTCGTCAAAAACTATTATATTTTACTACTTGATCATAATCATCATTTATGCTCGTTTCGTTTTCAAAATATATTTGTGTAATTTTAAGTATTTGCTATATTATCGCATACCGCAGAAGAAAACGCATTGTTGATTTGGGATTTGATCCAAAAGTTATGCCAACTATATTAATTCAGAAGTTAGAGAATTTGAAATAATTTACTATGATATTATCTTATCATATGAAAAACATAGCCGACTTCTAATAATCGATATTATTCATCATTAGTTAAACAAAATTTAATTTTAAATAGATTTTATAGATAAAAATTCGAATTTTCATTCTTTCATGTTTAAGTAATTAAATCATTCAAATTTTTAACAAATTTTTGTCTCGAAACTAAACAATCAGCATAGATATTATTAGTTACATTAATACATTTGATCTGATTTAGGTTCCGTTACGTTCAATGCAACCAAGTGCCAGGGGGAACCCCCAGGTTCCCAATCCTGGCTTGTTACGTCCATTTACACCTCCGGATCTTTCTTCTATACCTCATATGGACAGTACATCCCCACAAAACAGTGGTGTTCGTAACAGTTCATCATCTGTAACTGGTCGAACAAACGATGGAATCCAAGAACAATCCGGGCCTTATATCATCGGTAGTCCTATCGACCTCGGCAACATCGATAACGTCGATAATATTGGCCTACATATAGATTCCCTGGCGACTGGACATCGAAGGACACGTGAACACATCGAACTGCAGGAAGCTGGAGCGCACGAAACGAGTTCTGAAGGTAAGATGTCTTCATGTTTTGTTATTTTATATAATTAAGGATTGAAAAGATTTTTTTTGTCAGTAATGGAGGTAATATATAAAACGTAATCTATAAAAACTTGTAAAATGGTTGTAATAATTAATTAAAAGGTTTATTTTTTTGTTATAATAAAAAACATAAAAATAATATAGATCGATAGAAGTTATACCTGTGATTTTAGACCTAGTGTTGGATTAACATACATAATGCAACTTTGTATGGTACTTAAATATGGCAGTACATTTAAATGTCAAGATTTTAAATTATGTAATATTTATTCAGTATTTTTAATATTGTTATACATACTGTTAGATATTCATGATAAATATTTCAAATGTTGCTCTAATTTGATTTTAAATTTGATTTTAATATATTATAAAAAATGAAAATAAGATTTTCCGTCTTTATACATATTTTGCACATGCATTGTTATATTTCCATCAAAATAGCATGAACGGATTGTCCAATAAGGTATAATATCAGTGGTGCGGAGCTACCTCCAACCCACCCCAGCGGAAGTGTCCTTGGCCTATAGTCTACGAGCACCGAGGTTGTTTATTGATGCAACCTTACATATCTCCGTATTCATGGAAAATACTGGTGGAGTACAGCACGGTGCTGACGCCAACTTGTTGCCGGTAGCAGGCGCATGCGTTTTCGGGGTAACACGTGTACAGGGCTGTCACATTTTGCGAACACCCTCTTGATAGTAGTGTATTATACTTAGGAACTTGTATTTTTAGTAATTCAAGTAACAACTTTTTTGGTATTATATATTATATATTAGAAATATCATATAGATGTAAAATATTATATAGATATATTCATTTATTAAATTATATTCCCATTCAAAATTGTTTTTTTTTTAATTATATTAATATTTGTTATGTTTTTTCATTTATTTTAAAATTACAAATAAAATTTGAATATTAATCTAAACCAAAAATTATCCAAATATCTAGCTTGTATAAATTATTCAATCGTTGACAATCTAGTAGACTATATATACCGCGGTAGAAAAACCGATGATGACCAGTGCCACCTACGAAGTAAATTCAGTGTCTCCCGAAAATTCGCAGGCGTGATATGGTTACGGAAATTCTTAATTCGAGAATTTTTGTGAAGTATTTTTGGTTCTAAATAATAATCTTATGTAGATTAATTAAATAAGCTTATATTATACATTCACGTTTCCATTAGATCGGCAGGGGTGTGGCGGTAAGCGCGAGGCTTCTTCTGTCACAATGACGCAGATATGTAGTTTGTTTAACCGATCGTTATTTCGAGTAGAAAAGTGTTCGATCAGTGTATGTTAACTACTGTTTTATGCAAAGTGTGTAGATTTTCATAAAATATTGATTGCTTGTATTACTTTTTTTTATTAATTGAAAAAATTCGTTGCCGCTTATAAAATATCAAATATATTAAAAAATATCACCATACATTAGTTTTGTTTTTTATTTTTTTTATTATAACAATTGAAATATTCATATATTTAAAATTTTTTTAAATTTAATATTGATTAATTTTCAGTGTCTTTATTTTTTAATCATTATTGATATTTAATTTAATAATCTCATCATATTAAATAGATTGTCTCTCATTATTTTTTATTTTGATATTGTTCAGCTACTTGTTACACAACTGTTTTAGTAGTGCGATGGATAATATATCACCGGAAATTATTACATGATTGGTGTTGAGAAACCATAGGATATATAAGCTCAAATATTTTGCGTACACGCATGTCGTGAAATAATGTATGTGCATTATCAAAGAATAAGCATTCAATACCCATGTCTAATGTTTCATATTATATACTTTTTATTGTATATAATATGATCTGAATGTAGTAAATATTGGTAACATTTAATATTGCCAAAGTATGTACAGAAATAATAGTATTTACATCAAGATATTTATTATTCATAATATAGATATATTCGGCTATCCTTGAAAAAATGTTTTTATGAATTTCACATAAATTATCAAATATATTTAAAAATGTATATATCAATTGTAAATTTTTTAAAAATTTAACTCTATAATAAATATATGATCAAAATTTTTTAATAATTGATAATTTTTTATTATTTTTTTATGTATTATAATTTTATCATTAATGTTTTGTTTTAATATTTTGTAGTAATTATAAAGTTATGAATTAATATAAATTTATTTTAAAATCTTTAATATATATGAGTTAAAATGAAAATTTAATGATAATTTTATGTTAGTGATATTCGAATTTTTTATTGTTCAACATTTTTACTGACCGTGATAAAAGTTTTTTTATAGAATTTCTTTTTAGATATGTAATTATAACCTCTAAGATGATAGTACAATCGAACTACGTCATTTTCTTAAATAATATAGTAAAATCATTAAGTTTTTTTTCATTTTTAAATCAAATTTGGATTTTATAATCCAAATTTAAATTATCTTTAATATAATTTAATAGAAAGAAATCCAAAATATTAATAGTTTTATAACCTATGAATAATATTACATTATCATTAATGGAATATCAGACATGTTAGATTTCGTTCATAATAGTGTTTTATTATTCGTTAAATATGAATCGAAGTGCCAAAGATAAGTAAAGTGAAAGACATTTCATTTAATAAACGACAACATGGAAATAGCTGGTACAAAAGTGATACAATGGTTCAACGAACTCAGATCCCGGTTTCATCTTTATCTATACGCTCAAAATCGTAAGTCAAATATTAAAAAAAATATATATATATAAAAATAATTTATATTTTCATCTATATATATAATATTTATATATATAAATGAACACGTGAATTATTTTTACATTATTGAAACGGGATAAAAAATATTTTTGAAATTATTTATTGAAAACTGATAAAATGAAAAAGTATTAATAAATTTTTCATTCAAATTATATTTTAAATTGTTAGGCTTTAAATGAAAAAGAAAATATTAGAATAACATAAAATGATATATATTTTATCGTAGTTGGTCCTGTAAGGGCGGAAAATGGTGGGTCCCAAGGTGACGATCAACGGTCTTCACATCAACACGATAGCAGTGAAGAAAGAGTAGTTTTTATAAATGCTCCTCATCAACCAGCGAAATATAGAAACAATCATATTACAACTGCGAAGTACTCATGTCTTTCGTTTATACCTATGTTTCTTTTTGAACAATTTCGTCGATATAGTAATTGTTTCTTCTTATTCATCGCTCTCATGCAGGTACTAAATTTCATTTTTTTTTTTTAATATGTATATTTTTTTTTTATTTTTTATTTTTTTTAAGTAAATAATATTTTATTTTTAATTTTAGCAAATACCGGATGTATCACCTACCGGTCGATATACAACTTTGGTTCCATTAATTTTTATTCTTAGTGTATCTGCATTAAAGGAAATAGTCGAAGATATTGTAAGTATCTAATTACATATTCTATAATACTATACTACATTTATAATATTATAATACTATAATACATTCTATAATACAAAATATTATAATATTTTAGAAAAGGCATAGGGCAGATGATGAAATTAACATGCGTGAAGTAGAAGTTTTAAGAGATGGTCATTGGCAATGGATACAATGGAGGAAAATTACTGTTGGTGATGTGGTTAAGGTTGCACCTATTTTTTTCAAGATCATGGATGTGGTAATTATTAGTATTCCTGCTAGAATCGCTTTCTTTAATATGCATAGGTCCGCAACAACAATTTTTTTCCTGCTGACTTGATCTTATTATCATCATCGGAGCCACAGAGTATGTCTTTCATAGAGACTGCCAATTTGGATGGAGAGACCAATTTGAAAATACGACAGGCCCATCCTGACACTGCCAGTCTCTTAGATACTGCTGAATTAATGAATTTTCGTGCAAATATTCAATGTGAACCACCAAACAGACATTTGTATGAATTTAATGGAGTATTGCGAGAATCTAATAAACAGTATGAATATTTATTGTAAAAATTTGAAAAAGTTTATAAATGCAAAAAATGTAAGAAATCTATCTAAATCAATTTTTAGATCTGTACCTTTGGGACCTGATCAAGTATTGCTTCGTGGTGCAATGCTAAGAAATACACGTTGGGTATTTGGTGTAGTAATTTACACAGGCCATGATACAAAACTAATGCAAAATAATACTACAACTGCACCTTTAAAAAGATCTACTTTAGATCGATTGACCAATACACAAATACTCATGTTATTCTTTATACTTCTTTTGCTGTGCCTTCTATCTTCAATATTTAACATTCTTTGGACTAAAGCTAATAGTGATGGATTATGGTATTTAGGTTTAAATGGTAAACTAACTTATTTTTTAATTTTATAATAAATTACTTTAAAATTATACGATAATTATTTATATGTTTCAGAGGAAATGACTAAAAATTTTGCTTTTAATCTTTTAACATTTATTATTTTATTTAATAATTTAATACCTATTTCATTGCAAGTTACATTGGAAGTAGTGAGATATATTCAAGCTACATTTATTAACATGGATATAGAAATGTATCATGCAGATACAGATACACCAGCAATGGCACGTACAAGTAATCTTAATGAAGAACTTGGTATGGTTAATTATGTTTTTACTGATAAAACTGGAACTCTTACAAAAAATGTAATGGAGTTTAAACGATGTTCAATTGGTGGCAAAATATATGAGTGAGTATTTTAAGTAATATCATTTAATATATTAACTCATGATTTAAAAAAATGTTTTATAGTTTACCAAATCCAAATTTAAATGGTGACGAAGATGGTATTAGCATCAATACCGAATTAATTAAAGATATTATTGAAGGAAGATCAATACAAGATCTTTCTCGTCCGGTTGATAAAAAGGCTGCAAATCATGCAAAAGTAGTACATGAATTTATGATTATGCTTTCTGTCTGTCATACTGTTATTCCCGAGAAAATTGATGAAACTATTATTTATCATGCTGCATCTCCAGGTAATGTATTATTATATCAAGATTTCTTTAATATTATTTTTAATTTAATCTTTGATATCATTTATAATTTAATTTTATATTTATTTATTTAAATAGATGAAAGAGCGCTGGTAGATGGAGCACGTAAATTTAACTATATATTTGATACTCGAACACCTGCTTATGTGGAAATAGTAACTTTGGGTGAAAGATTTCGTTATGAAATATTAAATGTAATAGAATTTACCTCAGCTAGAAAAAGAATGTCAGTAATTGTGAAAACACCAGAAGGAAAAATCAAACTTTTTTGTAAAGGAGCTGATTCTGTTATTTATGAAAGATTGTGCCCAATTTCTTTAGAGAATAGTGATCCTGAACAAAATAGTTTGGATGATTTCCGAGATATAACTTTAGAACATTTGGAAGCATTTGCATCTGAAGGTTTAAGAACACTTTGTTTTGCTGTTGCAGATATACCTGACAATTTTTATCAGGTGCATATTTTTTATTATTTGCTTAAATATATCATATTTATTTATAATAAAATTGATACAATATTTTTTTTTTTTAATAGTGGTGGCGTGAAACTTATCATAATGCAATAATTAGTATAGGAAATCGTGAAAATATGATCGAAAATGCCGCAAATCTTATTGAAACAAAATTAAGATTATTAGGCGCAACTGCTATTGAAGATCAATTACAAGATCAGGTATGATATTTATTTTTCTGTATTCATTTTTGAAAATGAATGATTGAAAGAGAATTCATAATGTTGTAGGTACCAGAAACAATACAGGCTCTTTTACAGGCTGACATTAATGTATGGGTATTGACTGGTGATAAACAAGAAACTGCTATAAATATTGGCTATTCTTGTAGATTAATTACACATGGAATGCCATTGTACATAATTAATGAATCGTCTTTAGATGTAAGAGAAAATTGAGAATAATATTTTTTTTTTTTTTTTTTTTTTTTTTTTTTTA